ATATAATATAACTGAGTTTATGTCAATTCGGTTACGACTGTATTGTAATAATACGTATACAGAATACGAAATATGATAAGATCAAGAACCCTTTGTATGACTGGTTCCTGAATACGTTTGATGATAATACTGATTGTTTGTCTTTTATTGAGTGTCCGAGTCAGTATTTCTTAACTATTGTACTTAAATGCAGGGGTGGACATATGAAGCCCTGAGCAGGGTCCTGTGTACCTGCTCAACTTATGTCCGGAAGTAGATTTTTTTTGGGGGGTATGAAAGGTGCAGTCCCTAAATTTTGAGGGGTGATTTGCGATACTGGAAAATACAAGAAACGTCAACCAAAAATTGGAAAAAAGTTATCTTGAAATCAACCGATATACTTGAAAATCTCTCGAAACGGTTGAATTTGGCTAACTCGATAGTAATTTCTTAAGCTCGAACAAAATAAACTCGCGGTTGAATTTGCAAGACTTTTATTCCACTCAAGACCCAAGTTCCAATCTTGTTAGTGTCATTTTCTTAGTCAAATTGTGCTGTCATTTGAAAAAAAGTTCAATATATTTGTTTCTTATAGTCAAACGGTGCCACCATTTGATTTTTTTAAAATATTTTTTTTATTATATTAAAATGATGCCAACGTTTGAAAAAAATTCCGGGTCCGTCCCTGGTTGACCTACTTTTAACCGAATCAACCTCGAGTAGCTCGCGAACTGTCTCGTATCGTTTACACACCTAGTTACACGAGTCAGTAAGATTATGATTTTTAAAGTATAATAAAAATTCCAAGTCATTTCGATTAAAAAAATGGGTTACATTAAATAATTAGATTTAAATGGATAAGATGCTAAAAGTACATAAGCATAGGTCCACTAACTATATTTGTTGACTAATGAATCATCTTAATCATGCTTAAGTAGCCATCATTAAGATTTGGTCTTTGTGCTGAATGAGGGTCAACATGATTAATTATTTCAAGCATTATTTAATTACTTTTTTATTATTAAATATTTAAATACCCTTTTTAACAAAAATATAAAATAATTATCATTTAAAAATCAAAATTGTCATGTGTTTTTAGACAACCAAAAGTTATGGTTGACAGTTTTGTTAAACTTAAAGGGATTGTTTGTTTATCTTTTAATAGTTTTATTAAGATGTAACTTTTGAATTGTTAATAGATGAATCTTGTTTGGTAAAATTTTTTGTCTCTGAATGATTCTAAAAACTTCTGAATGATTTTGTATCATGGGTCTTACTTAACCATTAAGCGCTCTAACTTTTTTTTTTTGTAAATAATTACCAAACAATTATATTTCATTTTGCATTATATCATGAGAGGCTCTTAAACATTCTAACCACTTAATCATTCTGCACCAAACCATTCAGCAACTGCCAAAGAATCACGATTCGTTAAAAATAACTTGATTTTTGTTTTATGTTATCTCAAACGGATCAATTGAAATAAAATTTAATTTTTCTGGTCATTTTGTACGAATCTCTGAAAAGTGGTCATTTTATTTTACCGTTTATAAAATGGTTATTTTAGATAATTTCCCAAAATAAAATAGTATTGTATCATTTTAAATGAAATAAATAGTATTTCCTAATAGAAAACATGCACAAAATGCTTTTAACATGTGTATTTAGATATATATATACATATATATCTTAACTCTTAAGAAGCATTATATCTCAAACTTTATACAATGAATGTACTTTGTCCTTTCTAAAGTTTGACCATTGTAACCAAAGAGCCGCAAAAAGTAATTGATCAAATTTGTGGAAGGGCAGAGCCGAAGAATGTGAACACCTTTGACGGGTGTCGGGTCCGGCAAATAATAAAATTTATGAAAATACGCCTATTAGCTCTAAAACACACTTGTGATAGCGATAAGTAGGGTCGTCTCCTCAGGGACTCGGTGCTAACCGTAAGTCCAAGACGTAAATGCGTGCAAATTCGTTAACAATAAAACAATATATAAAAAGGG